AAAATAATCATGAATAAAATTTCAACTAGACAACATAGTTTAATAAAATAAAATTGTTTAGAAAAGTGACTAGATATTTGCTAAGATCTATCTTATTTAAGACATTATTAATTGTTAATTTTTAAAATTTTATCTAATTTTAATCATAGAACAAGTATATATTAGGTACCCAAATTAATGAGATATAATAATTTTAAAAGCAGAATGGATGGTCAAAAGCTTGTTTCATTTTACTCACTATGACATGAGTTATATGTTGTTATTATTCCAGATATGATAGCAATGATTGCATAATGGTTTAAAGAGGTGCACAGTTAAGTATAGTGTTTATATTATTTTTAAATTAGAAGTGCTCATAAAAATATAATTACCAAATAAAAAAAATTGGAATATCTGATTTAACCTTACATTGAAATTTAAATATTTATAGTTATGAACAAATCCAATCGAAAAGTCAACAAAAGTAAGTCATAAATTCATAATGGAAATTAAAATTATTGTGAATAATTTACTAAATATTGCAATTTTTGTTAATTGATATATATAATATGCAATTTGTTTGAATAGCATGTCTTATTGTGAGAAAGTTATAGCACTAAAATATTAATAATTGTATGGTAAATTATATGGAAACTACTAAACATTCACAAAAATTAATTTTATAAGGTACTGTTTGAATTATTTTCAAAACAAATTTGAGAATCGAGGATTCTATATGAGATTTTAACTGCCTTAGAAAATTATGTTAAAACACATAAAATCATTGGAAAACCAACAATTTTCTCACTACTGCTTTGAATATCAATTGCTATAAAAATATATATATTTTTTTTAGATATACTTTTATGAAGTTTTTTTACTTCCCCTTGGCTTAATGCTTTCACTGATTTGCCAYATGGCTTCTTCACATAGGAACTCATCAAAATTGTTAAAGAATGCAATGATATGATCATGTTTCTTAAAATTGTAGCATCTATAAAAATATTTTGGAATAAGTATTCATTAATTCAATATACAATAATATATATTTACCCTTTTTTAAATCTCTTCATATTTTCAACAATATTAAACTGTTGCCATCTTTTGGAAAAGTTTATTATATTGTCTGATATATAATCATTGTTGCCAATGTGTACAAATGTTAAATCTTGTAATACTAGTCCTCTGAAATAAAAAAAAGTGTTTTGAATGTTGCTGTATAATTAACTATTTTATAAAGCAATATTATATCTGTTTTTATGTACTTCAATGCCATAAATTAACGTTAACAAAAGTTAGATTCTATAGTCTATTCACAATGAGATCATTACWCGGCGGCGACCAGTTTTCGTTCGGCGGCGGTCAGACTCCGCCCACAAGCATCTAAAGCGCTGCTCCCGTCGGCGGCGGCGCGTCAGCCGCTGCCACGGAACAAAGCCACGCCCATGCGCACAACTAGGCCGCCGAGTAATGATCTCATTGTGAATAGACTATAGTAAGTTTGACTTTAGMGGAAATGCATTAAAATGTCTGTTAAAATCACTGAGAGTTATCCAAAGTTATTTTGTATACTTGTAAGAATAGAACTTAAGAACAGGTGCAAAACATAGAAAATTTTATGTTTAAAATAATCCACTTTTTTATTATTAGAATGAATATTGTTCTATCACTAAATTTGAAGGAGAATATTACTAGGGCCTAAAATTTTTTTTAATTTTTTTAAAGTGAAGAGGGTATAACTTCCTCTTAATATGAACATGTTCAAAAAATAAAATTTAGAAAAAAAGATAGATAGTTCTGAAGGAATTTATTAATTTGGTAGTTGCAATTATAATAAACTATAATATACAGTACATACATTCATAAAATTGTATAACCAAAAATAAAGGTTATGAATTATAAGTGTTATATACTAGAACTAGATTTAAAATAATTTTATTTTGAATAAACTGGTCTTAACATRATTGTAATTTATGTTACTTGGTTCATTATTTTACAATTATCATAAGATTTTAATTATTAATTTTTAATAACATGTTAAATGTATTAAATTATCTTACATGTAAGGGATGCATGGAGGATTTGTGTCAGCTAAAGCTTGTCTATAAGCTCTAAAACTTGATGAGCTATCAATCAGTGCACAGTATTCTTTTAATCCTTCTGTTATATATTTTTGCCATTCTAAACGTCTTATTGGTGCACTATCTAATGCAGATAAAAGTGCTAAATATGAATTAAAATTATTCATCTTTCTTAAGCTTTTCATTATTTTGATAAACTTTAACACATAACGTTCACGTTCTTTAGCTTCATTTTGTTCAAGAATGCGTGATCTCGCCCTAAAAATTTATTATATTACCTATGTATATGATGTACAGAGCGATTCACCAAACATGTTCATACCGATTTTCACTTTATCTATGAATTTATACAAACATTAATTTAAAATTTTTTACATATACCTAAGTACCATATTTTATTTAGACTTTGTACTCAATTTAAGGAATGTTATGTGGTGATACAAACTTCTTTAATAAAATAAGAACCAAACTTTTTAATGTTTCATTTTAGAGAACATTTATTTTTT